CATAGGAAAACATTTTATCTTGTGTGACTTTTTTGTAAGAAACTCCAGCTTGTCCGGGGGGACCCCAAGGCGAGGGTTAGGGTCAGCGTGTCCTGGGTCTTCCCTGGTGTCTCCTCCCGGTGGGATGTGCCCGGAACACCTCCCCAGGGAGGCGTCCATGAGGCATGCGGAACAGATGCCCGAGCCCCACCTCAACTGGTTCCTCTTGACATGGAGGAGCAGCGGCTCTACTCCGAGCTCCTCCCCTGTGACCGAGCTCCTCCTTATTTTAAGTTATGGACAGTTTTCATCCTGTTTTTGTTTGTTACTCTGTTTATGGTCGCGAGCAATTCAGATCAACCGTTTTCTTGATTTGTCCGATTTGAAATTTAGCCTTCACTACGTATGTAGTTGTTCATAAGAAGAAAAGTTGTACGATTAATATTGTCTTAAATTGCTTAAATGGTCGCATTCTACCTGTCAAATACAACTCTTTAACTGTTACAAGTATAAAACAAACACTTTGGTGCCCTCTTGTGGCTCACATGCACAAGTAGTGAGGCTGGATCAGGGAGCATTTGCCAAGACTGGAAAGTTCAGTCCATTCTTGGATGTTGTTTCAATTGTTAATCTGTATTATTTGAAAAAAAGAAAAAAAACTGGAACATCTATTTGGATCCTGTTCCATAAACCATAAATTAATTATAAAAGTATTCAAAAGAGTTGAACTTTAGTTTATAGGTTTCCATAAGCAGTAGGATAATATCTCACTGAATCATTGTACATTGACAATTGCATCCCTGTCTATACTACACTGATGTACATACTGGTCGTTTAAATCTAACCACTAATGTTCTGCGGACTGAGATGGCCTTTCCAGAACGTTGTACCATTCCCAGTGTTTAGGGTCATTCTTTGTCTTGTTGAAACTCCAACGCAACTTCAACATTGTCTATGATTCCAGGACATTGTTCATTTCTTTTAACTTCAAGTCTAGTTGTGATCACAAATTAACTAAGGCAAACTCTAACATTGATTTGAAATGAAACTCTCGGACTAATACCAGCAACATTTCCCCCAATTATGCTGAACTTAAGGCTGAAACAGCACAATCTCTCTGAATTACTTTCAATTCTTTTAAAGTGAATTGTGACGCACAAGTGATACTTTGTAACAGAAACTCTTGCTCCTGTATGCTTTTACTCTGGAACAATCTTCCTGAAGATGTGAGACAGGCCTCCTCTCTGACAATGTTTAAAACCAGGTTAAAAACAGTTCTGTTTAGCTGTGCATACAACTGAGGGATTTTATATTTGTATCTGTCTTTTTAATATACTGTGATTATTTATTGTCTTGTTCAGCACTTTGAGTTTCCTTGTGTATGATTTGTGCTATACAAATACTTGCCTTGCCTTTTACGTTTTCCATATTCACTGCAGATCTGACCTCCGCAATAAATTTAAGTCCAGTTCAGGGTGAGTTATCCCTCGGTTAATTATTAGCTTTGTTTCGCTCATGTTCGATAACTCTATTTCAGTTGGAGGCAGGTGACAATCCAGCTGTTTGAGAAAGAAGCAAATATTTAATTATTATTCCCAGATTATTATTTGATAGATAAACCCGGCGTATCATTTAAGTCCTTTCTACCTACCAACATCATGCATGTTTTTTTTAATAATGTTTTCACTTCTAGACATCTTTATGAGAAAATAATTAGATCATAGTTGATTTGTGCTGACAAAGATGTGGAACTTTGACAGTTTTTGTTTCATGTGGATTGGCTCAGGAATTACAAATAAATTAGCTCTAAAATAAGACTAGAAACGTGACCTTTCACAGTTACCATAGTTACCAGGGAAGATTTTACAGCAAAACACAATGCTTAACTTTGGAATATTGTGATGTCACATGGACGCAACTAATAACTTTTGCCCGAGACTTACAATATAATATTTAGTGTATTTCTTACTTAATACATGTTTCGCATGAGGCCTGCTCTACTATACTGTCCTTCCTGGTTCAGCTCCCACGTTATAGCAATAAAGTGAGCACTCAACAAACAAGAACCGCAAGGGTTTACACAGCAACAATGTGATTTATTGAGGTCATGGGATCTTCTGAAATATTAGCAGAGATAACATTTGCAGCCATGTGGTCTAACAATCCGGGTTTTTAATGTGACAGTGTCCAGCACAACCATTTACATCTCACGAATCACAAATCAAGTATAAAACTAGAGGATATATCTTTCCACTGTACAAAGGGACACACATTGAACATAAAATCAAAGGCCACTCAATGAAGACGTGCTACTACTCAGCGTGGGAACAACTGCAGCGTTTATATTTTACTGGCCTCCTTTGTCCCGTGTGGATGTTTTAGACTGGGTTGTCATGGTGATCGTTTGACAATAAGGAAGTGACAGAGGGGATCCAGTATGCAAATGCCACAACTGTGTAAATTAAGGGCACAAAGTGTAAGGCCATATGAGCAAGCAGCAGGGGGCAGCATGGTGGTTGTAGTAGTTTTCCTGCAATATTCTAATGCTTTGAATACAGCTATTAAAACATAGGATTTTACCGTGTTTTTGGTGTTTTTGGTAGGAGGATTTTCCAGAATTTTAGGAAAGAACCAACCTTCTCTACTTTTTGAACACTCTCTGGTCTTATTTGACGAGGACGTATCACCAGAATGATCCAGCCAATTGGGAGGACCAATAGTCTTGATGATCCACCCGGAAGTTGAAAATCCTCCTTTAACCTCCTCCTTTAAGGGGGTTTTGGAGTAAAAAAAATAATAATCAATTTTCATTAAATGCACATATATCTGTGTCTGTTTTGTGTATATCTGAGTTTGTACCATAGACTGTTAGTACAGGTGTGGAAATAATCATTTTCTTTGATTTATTGATTTTGTTTTCTAATAAGTTCACACCAAATAATTATATTTGGCATCTTACAGAATATAATTATATAAAAAATAACAATAATATTGGATTTGATCAGTGGACACGCTTAAAACATGTTTTTGATTTACATATTTTCCCCTGTGTTTTTTTGTTTGTTTAGTGTTAAGTTTTGTTTTTATGCTGTTTTTGTCCTTAATGCTATTGTTGTTGGTACCTTGGATCTGTGTATGTGTTTTGAATGTGCTTGTGTTGTTTTGAAAATAACAAATATAAATTATATAAAAAAAGAAAAAATAATCTAGTCTTTGTATTACTTTGGCTGTTTATTATGTATTCAGTAGGAAAGGGTTTTTGATTGTCATTAAAATGAAAACGTTTAACGCAGACTTTCCTTGCTCAATTAATCTTGTTTTATTGTTGTGTATTTGTATATGTGTATATGCTTATGTTCTTTATCAAAAACAGAAAAAACCCCCAATGATTCAAATCAGTCTTGTCTCAGGGTTGTAATGAAACGGAGAGGGACTTTAAAGGGATGAGATCACAGCATAGAATCTGCAGTACGCAGTATGTGAAGTTTCAACTAGTTTTGGATTTATTTGTAGAAATTGTATTGGTTAATGGAGAAATGTTATGTTAAATGATCAACCACACAAGTCACGGCCTGTTTTGCCCTCTACATTTGCATAAGAGAAAAGAGGCGACACAGAGCAGCAGTGGGTCAAGAGAGAGAATGACAGTGACATACTTTTTTAAGTAAATTTAAAGTACCGCAAACATATTCTGTCAGAAAATAATATATCTTTACTGTACATAATTAACGGTGCTTTAAGCAATGGACTAGCACTTGTGTCGGTCTACTGGTGAGGCTACAGTAAGCTACAAGGCCATGAGGTTGAAGGCAAAGAAATGCTCTGCAGTGTCTTTGTTTTGAGGGGTAACAGTAGTTCAGGGCACTAAGCTATGCAGTTCTGATGCTAAGACTAAAACATCTGTACACAAGGTACAATCTGTACCATAGTTCAGTGAATCAACAGCAGAGTGACATTCATATTCTGTGTAGCATATAACTGTATACATTTGTCATGCTGACGCAAATGAAGAGAAGTAAAACTGTTGCCATTGTACATGTCTTCATGTTTAAAAGCAAGCATCATTGAATGAGTCAGAATTATAAATTACTATCTGAAAACTTTATTTCAGTCCATTCTCTTGTTTCTGTTATAATAATATTTGTCAGTGACTTTAAAAGTGAAATGTACAGTAAGCAGGCCCAATACCTAAACTTTATCTTGTATGTGACCAGGGACGGGGGTAGCCTGACTCTCGCCAGACCCATGTACATCGCTGCGCTTCTCACACGTGGACATGTGGATCAGCCAAAAGCCTCTGGTGGAGCATGGCGGAACTACAAGGGTCTGGCGAGAGTCAGGCTAGGACGGGGGCCATCTCCAACAAAATGTTTAGCTAATTACAGATCATAAGAATTTGGAAGAGAACTTTCTATCAAATATTTATATGAATACAAATTTAAAATTGCATGTGCATTTGAAGAAACATACAGTGGCAACAGTCTTCGTAGAAAACTGATCTTCACCTGCTGATAAAAGGCCACTGATAAAACATTCTGAGGTATTAAGACGATTAGCCAAACATAATACAAAACAATGCTGCTCCCATTGCCTGACTGGTCAGAACCACACACTTTTACAATACTTACAAATTCACATATATTCGAACAAAAGTCCAAATGTAGCAGGAACTAGCCGGTCAGGCAACTGTTGTAACAGTGTAGCAGTAGTCAAGCACTACAAATCATGAGACCCTGAATGAAACTGTCTGAAAAGGCGCCAGCATTAGCATAGCCAGTGTTTACACAATCCTATCCACTCGCATGTATTCTACAGATAAGCAGGCAAACAAGAAAACGGTATTTTGCCATTTGTCATCTTTCCTTTGCAATAAAGGACTTTGAGAATTAGTATTTCAGTGCAATGTCCACACAAAGATCATCCAGTCTTTTTGATTGGTCACGGGTCAAAAAACCACGCGAATTGTACCCCCTTTTCATGATATGACACGTTTATCTACAACATTCATCTCAATTGTCTATTCACTTCCAGCCTGGTTTTGCACTCCGACTGGTAGCCAAGTCTCTGCCCGGTATGGACTTTTCTGAGAAGCTGCTTGTCTTGCGTTGGTCATCTCTTGAACCTGATGGCGGCGGGGTCTCGCTACGGTACGTGTTGCGACTGGCGGCCCTCACACTCTGCACCCTTCTCACGGGCCGCTCCTCTGAGGATGGGGGCTTGCTCGGTTTAGCCTGCTTCGCTAATGTCGATGGACTACGGGACGGCGTCGAAGGCTCCTTCTTGGTCCGCGAAGAAAACGCCACCGTGTTCCGTGCAAAGCTTGGAACATCAGACGAACTCTTAGCTGTATTCGGGCTTGTGTTTTCAGCGTTAGCTTGCGTTTGGGATTGCGCTAGAGCCCTCATTGTGGACCTGCACATTTTTTCTTCAGGTTTGGGGATGTTTCGCAGTGGTTTAGCGCTCGGTTTGTAGGTGGTTGCTTTTCTGGGCGTGGACTCTCTTGTCCATCTTGACGTAGATCCGCTAAGTCCTCTTTGCACTTTGGATTCGTCAGGAGGCATGCTGGAATGGCGAGGGGTTCTTGTAGCCTTCTCGCTCCTCCCTCTTGCTGGTGTGCTTTGATCCCTCAGCGCTCTGCGAGTTTCTGTATTTTCAGGTTGTCTGTCGCCACGCCTGCTGCTTCCTGATCTCGTTACCTTGCTGATAGGCACCACTTTTCTCATGCCCTGGTTTTCATTGCTAGTTAGTGTTCGTACACTTCGGTTACCACCACTATTCTTGCTACCTTTAGCTGCTCTACCTTTTACTTGCTTCTTGCTGCTGATTTGAGTTTCTTTCTCTGTGCCTTGCTTACCTTCCATTGTTTCTGCGCTTTCTGTATCCCAGTCATCTGTTTGGGTAGCAAAGGTAGCCTCAACTACGTTTGGTGCAGAAATGTCGCTAGTAGATAGCTCATTTGGGGATTCCAAGTTTGACGACACAGAACTTAGATCTTGTTCCTGGTTTTTGCCGGTTCTGAAGAGGTCTGCCTCAGAGTAATCCAAAGTAACTGAGCAGTCTGTTTCAGTGCAGTCTATGATATAAAACATTGGGGCCTTATTACCTACTGTAGGGTCCAGTGGGAGAGGTGTGTCGCAAGTTGTTGACGAAATTGTACTGTCAAATTCCTCATTATCGTTTGCTAATGTTTCAGTAATTGAAGGAGGATGTGGTTGCTCTTCAGCTGCCTTTGTGGCTTGCGGGACTGCTTTATGTTCATTGTCTGAATTCAGTTTAAAATTATTCTGTTCCAAGTCAATAACAACTACATCCTCAGGGTTGACCGCGTGTATTGGACTTTTGTTGTTGTTGTTCGGGCAGGGGATCTCAAAGGAATGTGGTCCCCGTACTAAAGTGTGCTTCGCAACACTGACGTTCATCTGTCCGGAAATGGTTGTACTGGGGACTTGCACAGCTTTTTGAAAAACACAAAATGGGCGTGGCAAAGCACTACCCTCCGACACAGAGGTGTACTGATCATTGGTAGTGTATGAGTCTGCATTGTCATTCAGCCCAGGAGAGGAAAACTTTGCAAGTGGGCTTATTGGCTCCACATCAACAAGTCTGTCCCAACCCAGTTCCCGGTTGTCATCTTGTGCTAGCATCCACGGAGTAGTTCTTCTCTGATGAGGTCTGCCTGGTCGCGGGAGGCTGTTGAACTTAGAACAGTCATTGTCGTTTTGTCCAAACACTTCCAGGTAGCCCTGCAGCTGGCGATCTGCTGTGCTGGTCATGGTGTGGCGGTGGCGCCTTGCACTGGTGGAGCGGCTTAGAGGGCTCTGGGACCTGTGAATGAACTCCAGCAGGCCCTCCTTAGTCAGCATGTCTACGTCAGTCTCACTGCTGCTGCGAGCAAAGCCGCCGCTCTGGTCAGGACCGGACCAGGCACTGCGTCTCTGCTCCAGCTCTCTGAGGCGTCGTTGGCGTGCTGCCTCCTTCAGCTCACGCTCTGTGTTATCCTAAGAAAAACACATATTCAATTATTAGATTATATTTAGACAGAAAAAAAAAATATTTTTCAATACTCAAAAAACAATGATTATAACAATATTTTATAATCAAAAACACATATATGGTGACAGGCAGATAATGACTCCCAACTATTTACTTTAAAAGGTCCCATATTAGGCTGTAAGTGCAGTGCTACTAACTTGGGGTATACTACTGTTAACTAAATAATTAGGGTCAGATTATCGAGGACATAGGGCCCTATGTGACGGGTTGCCATTGTTGGAAAAAGAGTATTCTCAGGTCTGATGTGCCGCTATGTACCGGCAAACAGCGAACCCCCACGGTCTGTGTTTATAACAAAGTCAGCGTGAGCTCAGGGAGAGAGGTGGCAGGCTGTGGTCTCAGAAACATCACTGTGGGCTCACAGGCAGAGAACCAGAGAGGAGCAGAGAACCACTCGTTTCAATTGAGGTGACGTCTCCTCTCTGCACACTGTAGTGTGGAATGACTCACATTATTATCACACATATGCTTAGGAAAGACTGAAACATGAAGAAGAGCTGTGATGGTGTTACATAAGGCGTTACACTGACCTTGACCGCCTTCTTGAACTTGTGGCAGAAGTCTTGAAAGATCCGGAAGCATTCGTCCAGCTTGAACGTGTCCTTGTCCTCGCAGAAAAAGTCAATCAGGCTGTTCCCCTCTTTGCGCAGCTCCAGCCTCCGTCTCTTTAGGTCCTGCAGAGTCTGTGCTGCACTCTGGGGCACAGACGAGCAAAGACAAAACTCTAATCATGAGCTCCTTAAGACGTGCAGTCATATCAAACAGTGTTGTATATAAACATGCACACCTGCAGGAAAGGTTGGAGCTGCTGCAGGAGCTCCGGATCCCCCTGGACCTTCTCCTCCAGAGTTCTGATGCGCACATACAGCGAAGAGTACTCTGTCTCGATGTTCTCCACAGAGATCCTAAAAGACCCAAGACACATTAAATCACTACAGACACTATTGATATTTACATGTTAACTGGCTTTGTGTGAGTGCCCTTTTTTCTTTGTATGACTGAATACATGTTTCAAAATAAATGAAATGAGAGAGTAAGAGAAAACAAACGGTTTTAGAATTTTTACTACATTGCAATTTTTCACATTGTCCCTCATTAGTCACAAACCTGGAGTTGTTTTTAAATCCATCCACACCAATATCAGGAACGTCTGACACAAAAGGTCTCAGTCCTGTGATAGTATGATGTCATTGTACCACTATGACAGCATGCTTCAGGCAAACGAAATGACGTAAAATGGCATTATTTGCAATTATTTGCAATGGGCAAAATGAATGTAAACAGATTTAATGCTACTTTATCCCCCTGTGGATATCAAACTAGAAAACATTTATGATATAAATGTAATAAACATGAGGTGATTCACAGACTACAATGTCCAAAAATATAGGAATAAAAATATGATGTTTAGCATGTTCTATTACTGTAAATATATGACGGTAATTTCCAAACAGTACCAAATAATTATTCCCGCAATAATTCCCACTGCCTTATTAGCCAAATACAAATTTTACAATAAAGCTTTCATCCAATAAATTTATATTTTGCAAGTAACTGTAACTGTAGCCTGTAGAGGCCTTCTCTCCAATGCACTCAATCTGAAGTAATTTGATAAGCAAATTTCCATTCCATTCAATAGATATACTGTACAGAAGAGACTGTTTTCATCCATGACATTGACATTGTCATCAAAATGTGAGAGTTGCCTTTTGGTGGACAAGTTGATGGACTTTGAGAGTGTTATATAAGAGGCCACAGTGCTGCTGCATTAGTACATTAAGCAGAGATGACCTTGTGATGTGTGGAGAGGAGCTGCACCAGCCACACTGCAGTCCCCCTGTCCCCCTTACGTCACACCCGCTACTGAAGCTGCTTATACCAAAGCCGTAAAGTATTTTGCACTTTCAGCTACTTGGAAATGCTTTCTATGAATTACAGAATCAATGACATAATAAGCTTCATAGGTCTCAAACGTCTGCAAATGTTCTTGGACGAGTGCAGCAGGATAGACTTTGTCATTAATACACACACATAATTAAAATTAAATGTTTTGTTCTAATGAAAGCACCTAATATTTGAAGAGAAAACCAATATGCTATTTAAGAAGGAGTGCAGCCTACACTTTCAACTCATTGGAAAACTGGATTGGTTGTAGTATTCAGTTATTCTTAAATGACTGCACAACCCTGTAGAATTGTTGGTTTAGCCCTGTATGCAGTATTTGCCATATTCTTGTTCTAACCTTGCAGCACTCTGGACGTCCTGGAGCTTCTCTGGAAACTTGAGCAGTTTCTCGTCTTTCTTCTTTGCCTCCTGTGGGAGATGAATATATTCAGTGTTACACATCACTGTAGTGTCTTGATTATGTAATACTGGCTGCCCGCTTTGCCCGCAATGCTTTTCCTCCTTCTGTTCACCCATTTTCTACAACTTTGCCTCAAAATAATTATATAATTTATAAACATAATTGAAACATGGAAGCGCTTAGTAAAATTGCATGACTTTCAGTGTTTCTTCCATCTGAGCCATGAGCACCTTCGCTGGTGGGAGATGAGGGCCACTCGATGCGACTTGCGGTTTTAATTATCATTATTTTTGTGTTACATGATAATCAAAATGATCAAGTAAAAGGTAAATAACCCCTCTAAAATAACAACTCACATTCTCCCTCACATACAGTACACGTAAAAACACTGATACTGACCATAGCCACAAAGTGCAGCAGGTTCATGCCGGGCTTGTTGGCTTTGGTATCGGCTAACGAGAGCAGGGAGGAGAGTTTGAAGCCCACTGCATTTCCTGCATATCCGCCCTGAGCAACACACATAGTTATGAGACCACACCAACATGGCAACCAACATGTAGTATGCACCTTTCACACGTCCAAGAAATCAAGAGGAAACAACAAATCACACCAAACCAGTACAATGGTAACACGTTTGAAAGGGATCATGTTATTAGGTGCTCAAAGTTGCACTTACAGCGTTCATGATATTCCCAGCTTGCAGAACCAAATGTAGAATTGCATGAAGTTCTTCACAGCCCATTAGCTCTATAAGAAAAAACACATTTCTTTATTAACAAGTGCAAGTTCAAATAAAATGTTGAAAGGAAAACGATATATCATGGAACTGGTTCAATGAGATGACGTGACGTGAAAAAACAAATGTCAGTGTCCACGACACTGACATTCAATAAGTACCAATGCAACTTGAGTGTTGTCATTAGATTTCACATATGACATGGATGCTGGCTGCATGGGACTTTCCGTTAGTGATTATGTGAATGCAAACAGTCTGATGATGGTAGTAAAATCCCAAAGCGCCCAAGGAGTAGGAATTTTGCAACAACTTTTGGAACTCATGCACTGACGGTAGAATTAAATGTGTTACTAGTAAAAAAAACATTCTTTATTCGTTTACATGTTTTATTGGCAAGTCATATTAGCTTCTGATTATTATATATGATATTATGATATATGCCGGGTTGGAGAATAACTGCATGTAATGCATGTACTGAGAAAAGTAATGCTGGACTGTACTCACAGCAGTGTTACTCTACAAAAAGAAACTAAACTGTGGTAATTGATCATGGCTTCATAAACAAAATATGAGCCTGCTTTAGTCTTTTTTAAATTGATATGGATCATCTAATGGAATATTTGATACACTATAATGAAATGCCTGAAATCAGAAGTTCTCCGACAACTCCGCCATCGTGGGCTGTGTGTCTGAGGGGAACAAACTGGAATATCGGTAGGTTATCACAGACTTTGTCGACTGGTGTGAGCGCAACCACTTGTGCTTGAACACCAGTAAGACCATAGAGATAGTCATCAACTTCAGGAGAAAATCACTTTCCCACACGCCGCTGAACATCCAGGGGGAGGACATTGAGCTGGTGGACAGCTTCAAGTACCTGGGTGTTCACATTAACAATAAACTGGACTGGTCCCATAACATAAACACCCTGCACAAGAAGGGCCAAAGTCGCCTCTTCCTTCTGAGGAGGCTGAGGTCCTTCGGAGTGAGCAGGCCTCTGCTCAGGACTTTTTATGACTCTGTGGAAGCCTCTGCCATATACTTGCTGCCATGTGCTGAGCCCCGGGCAGCACAGAGCGGGACAGAAACAGACTAAACAAGCTGGTCAGGAGGGCCAGCTCCACTCTGGGCTGCTCCCTGGACTCTGTGGAGGTGGTGAGGGACAGGAGGGTGCTAGCCAAAGCCACCTCCATCATGAACAATACCTCCCACCCACTGCACAGGACTGTAGAGGAGCTGAGGAGCTCCTTCAGTGGAAGACTGAGACACCCTCAGTGTAAGAAGAAGAGTGCTACCGCAGGGCTTTTATCCCCACTGCTGTCAGACTGTACAACAAGTCACTTTAAGTCACTGTATTAAGACTGAAAAACCTGCACTACTACTGACACTTCTTTCTTGATTGCCACTTTCTTTTCTTCCTGCATTAACATGTTGCACATTTCTTACTTTTTGCACAATTCCTTGCCAATGTAAATTTCTCCTGTGTGTATAATATATAATATAGACTCATTACACGCAAAGTCTGTTTGTTATTGTTTTATGATTATGGCTAAAGGCCCATTTGCATTTCCTTTTACAGCTGTGAGCCAAAATTATCAACATTATAACAAATAAAGGCTTGATATATCTCACTTTAGGTGTAATGATATAACCCTATATTGAATTACAGAAGTAAGGCAAGCGAAGGCAAGGCAAGTTATTTGTAGTTATTTGTAGTTCAAGGCAACTCAAAGTGTCTAACATAAAAAGAAAAAAAACATTAAAATCACACAAGGCATTAAAATCATTAGGTCCAGTTATTTTTCCTAGGTTTCACTTGAATGTACAAGTTTTGTGTGAAAGACAATGGCCAACCCACTTTATGCATTTGCGTTATGGGTACATGAAAACTAAACAAATATTTGAGTAGATCTATGGATCCCAAATCCTGAGAGTGCATGGTGTCATGCTCAAACATGGTTCAGTCACAGTGGGTGTCACGTTGCCAGCCTTGTGGACGCTCTCCCCAGCTCACAGCTCACATTTCTGGGTCACTTGTGTGAAGGAGGGAGCCATTACCTTTGGTGGCCACACGGATGACATGAATCTCGTTGCTCATCACCGTGCAGGAGGGAGAGAACTCTTCACGTAGAACCATGGCCTCGATACGCAGCTCAAACCTGCAGGGCCAAGTACAGTTTAATCGTTAGCAATAAAATCTGCTACAATACGACCTACGAACTAGCAATTGTGTGAGGTGCAATCCAGACTTAAACGTGCTGAAAGTTAATAGCATCATACCCTGAGACAGCAAACTGTAAGTGTTCTATTGAGTTGTGGTAATGTCTAATGTCCTGCAGCGCCGGAAAAGAAACTCAATATCAGCAATTGTACAAGTGATACTTCAGGCTGACTATTTTGTGCAGTGTCATATTGTGAACAAGGACTGTATAAAGATGGACAATGCTAACCCCCTACATCAATGAAGCCCAATAGGGAAGTGCTCATGGATGAAGTTTAAAGATGCAGTCAGTGATTTTTTCCAGACTCATTTTTTTAATATTGTGGGAAAAACCCCTGAAAGTAGTCAAGTATCCTCAGTCTATAGCTAATAGAAAACACATCTAAAGCATATGCAAAATTACTACAATAAATTAATTATTTGGATGTCTGGCAATAAATTAGAACTGTACTTTAACTTAAAATCTGACACCAATATATAATATAGACTCATGTGTCATGTGTTTTCAACTAGTAATGGAATTGACCAGAGGCCAATAGTCTCCAAAAAATAACAAACAATATTTTGGAGCGAACCAATGGGATGTGTTTACCCCAGTGGGGGCGGGTCCCGGCTCAAAAGTGGCCAAAATGACGTGCGCTGACATGCTTGCAATACCCCCCCCGGGCCGATGGGGGTGGACTCAGAAGAAGAATTAGCCTCGAAAACGTCTTTACAGGATGGTCCAAAAGTTGGCTCTTGGCCCAAAGCTCCGTTCCACATGTGTGTCAATGCTGAGGGGGTGAATTTTTTTGGACCAGTCTAGTTTACTTGCTGTCAATTTTTGCAGTCTCTCGTTTAAATGAACGGAGCTTGCGCCGGTTGACGTTGCGTTTTTTCACAATTTTCTTGTGGGCGGGACCACTCACGGCCATTTTGGATAGCTCCAGTAGAGCACAATTTTTGGCCCATTAGTTAGAATGGCGGAGAAAGGCGTGACTACGTCCGTTAATTTTTACAGTCTATGGTTTAACCCCCTTCACCCTATTCCCGTTTCTCGCGAGTGCGCACACTTGAGTTATTGGATTTTCTAAAACCTAAAAGGGCAGAACAGAAAATGCCAATTTCACGTTGTCACGGATGTTTGGTTTGGTGGAGAGGCGAGGGGAGGGGGAGAGGTTTCGAGTTGGTGCTACGGCTAAGCTAACAAAATCGCTTACTGCACCTTTAACTTCTCTTGCTCAGTAACCGTTAGTGTCACATTCACCATTTTGGGCTTAAACAAATCTGTGGTATAGCGCTCTCAATGATGCTGGGATTTATACTTTTAATATTGTCTTTGTGAATCTAGCTTTGAGTCATAAGGATTGACCCATCAGATCAGGGATAGTCTAGAGATTATTTAAATTTGGTATTGCTTATTCATTTTTTATTTTACTGTGCACTTGTTTTGTACAAGTTAACTTTTTATTAATCAAGAAGTAATCAAATCGTTCTTTTCGAGATTCAAGTCGTAATTATATCATAATTCACGAGAATAAAGTCATAACATAGAAGTTTGTGTAACATATAGGCATACTGTCGTGTAAGACAGTTGGTAAAATGAGGGTGGTGGATCATTTTGTGGAGTTGTACTTCAGGATAGGTTTCACAAACACACAAAGGAGATTCTTAATCTTTTGGCAAATCAGAATCATATAATTATAAGTATTGGAACTTTAAATCTTGTCTGGAGAAAGAACCAGACGTTTTTTCACAGACTGTTCACAGACTGTTTTTTGTGGAGGGGGAATTGGTTGGAACTGGTCAACTGCAGGGTTATCGGTGCATGCATCAGCGGGTCATACAGAGGGGCTTCATGGTTTCCCAAAAAACAATCAGACTCATAATCAAGATTCTGGATTATGGCACATGGATTCATACCTGTATGATAAACTAAAGGCCTATGGCATTGCTATAAACGGCTGCATTGACGAATTTAGTCGATATGTAATGTGGATGAAGGCATAAACAACTAACAGCACAAAGATGAGCAGCTCATTCAACTCGAATGAATTGTGTGCATTCGTGTGATTTTCTTTGTAGAGGCTACGGCGCCTGTGCGAGAGGCGTCATATCCTCCCTGATTTTCATGTTCACAGCGTTATAATGATAAAAGTTGTTTTCTCAACAAGAACATTATTTTCATTTTTAGTCAAACAATCTCTTGTTTTATTTTCCAATCCTCCACTCCCTCTTCCACACATTGAACCTACTGCGGCACTTGTATCAGCAGGTACATAAAGGCATCCACCAGTGCCAGCTTGTCTGGGTCTCCTTTAAAAGCCTGTAGCTTCTTCACCTGTATACAAAGAAAGATATGTAAGCGTTTCAAAGCAGGTTTGTATTTAAAACCACTTCCCTGTGACATATAAAGACTGAAAACACTACAGACCTCCTCCACATCCGGTAGCAGCTTCAGGAGGTCTTTGAGCAGCTCGGCACCGTACTTCTGACCATCCCCTCTCCGAATGTCCTCCACAATGGTGCGGTTCGACCTGAAAGAAACAATATAATGCAGCTGCTGAAAAGCACAGTGTGTGAATTTATATAAGACACAAATAAAACATGTTTATATTTGAAAGAAATTGGATTTTCAGGACATTTTTAATAATTTGTAATTCAATTGTAAACAGACTTGTGATGTTTGAGTAATCTATTGAGTTAATCTAGAGCTTGTATTAGGCTGGGTATGGTTTTAGCTGGTGGATCCGAGGAAATCAGGAAAGGGTTTTCTAGAAGTGTTTTAGAGTGTTTCATTATCCCTTACGTAGTTCAGAGTTATTATGCTACTTTCAGACCGCCAACGATGGAACGCTGAAGCCTCGCTCACCAGACGCACATTCTCTAGTTTTCAGACGCAGGAATCTTCAGACTAGAAGTCCTGGCGCGCGCCGGAAGCGGCGGAAGTAGCCGGCAGGCTTTGATGCTAGTTTAGCTAGCGGCTTCTTGTGTAAAGATCTTCTCCAATAATGCAGCTTTGCAGCGTCTCTGTGTCTGAGACCTTCTACAGACTTTATATATCAGTAGTGTGTGTTCACGGAGGTGCGCAATAAGTTTATTTTATTATGAAACGGTACTTTCGCATCGGCGAACACGCTTGAAGCAGTTGCATAAGGTCACGGGAGCATGACAACACATTACGTTCACAAGCACACAGTCCCCCATTGGATCAACCCTGGTTTTAGTCCTGATGTTGCTCCTGTTTTGGTTGTTTACAGTATGTTCAGTCTGCTCGCTCAGACCGCTAAGGTCCCCGTGATCACTTTGCGGCTCTCTGATTGGTCGCTGCACGAACGTCCGAGTAAACGTTCAGCAATATTCTCCTGCGTGTGTCAATTTTTCGCTCCTGCACCTCCCCTTCGACTTTCCCGCGCAGTCCGTGCGTCTCTACTGAGCAGTCCGTGCGTGCATTCCGAGACGCACATGCATTTTGACGCTCGAACGTGCGTCACCATTGACTTTGCATTGAAAGCCAAGATAACGCATGATCCGGTCTGAACGCGGCATTAGGCCCGAGCCCTGACTGGTGTAGGGCCTATTGCTTTCACAATGGTGAATGCAAGGGGTCGCGGTGCGTGACGAATGCATCAGTGCCCGTCACTCACCACAACGTCACGGTTGCGTGCGTAAACTCAAACGGTTTAAAATGATGTATCAGATGCCATTGAAACACATATTGTTTTTGCTGAGACTTTCGAAAAATTATTCTGCACTTTGAGCCCCCTGAACATGCATGAAAACTTGCCAAATTTTTCCCATAAGTCAGAAAAATTTACTTTTTTAGTGTTTATTTTAATGGGTCCAAAAAAATGCCAGAACAGCGCACCCAACAAAAGTCAGTTTAAGCTGCGCCTTTGGTTTGAGTTCAAGTTTGTCGTAGAGCCATGAAATTCGGTACACATGTTCATCAAGTCAAGAAATGAACAAAAAGTACGCCCCCTGACAAACAGGAAGGAGGAGAATGAGCACTCATTCACTCAGCACTTTTTACGGCCTAAATTCATACTCAAGCTGAATTAATGAGCTCAAGTTTTCAATTAAATTACAGATTTTAATACAACTTGTATGTAGTAATACGCATTTTTATGAACTCCTTAGAAAATAAATTGGGTATAGCTTCTTTAATGAAAGAAATGTCCTTGGCCATAACTACAGAGGCCCAGCTTCATAAAGGGACCTTACTTGAAGCTGAGGACCTAACATTCAAACCACACACTACACACACAAACCACAAACTAGTTCCTAGCTCTTTGGTTCTATCACTAGTTTCCCAATGCATGTATTTTTGCCCTCAAAAATTAGCGCTCAGTGCTTAGCCCTCAGTGCAAATAGCGACTCACAAGGCTCTTTCTTTCTTAATTATACAAAGGGAAACATGTGTGTAATATTCTTTAGGAACAAACAACATGTGTTTATGAATGAAATAAAAGTTCGGTGTCCCAGCTTTAATTCTCATTTGTCCTGCACTGTGCAGCGCCGACAGTCAAATACCAGTGAAATGTGTGGGGCATCATGCAAATGTGGAAAACCATGCAAAAGAACATCCTCGAGTCTTCAGTTTGGACTATTTAGGACACACATGGCAACACAGCCTGGTACTAATCCAAAGCGTTTCCTAAACCTATTAAAGCACAACAATACAAGTATTAAGGGATTGATAGACAGCCAATTTCTTCACTTCACACACTGTTCACAATAAGGCTTGAAAATAATGTGTTTTATCCAATTAGTTTAGGTCTACGCATAGGAAGTGTTTTTGTTCTGTGTTGTCTTGTTGAGTTAATATAGGCCTAACGATGACTCTTGGGAAGTCGTGATTAATTCTATCCGTCAATAGTAAGTTGTAGTAGTAGTAGTAAATAAGTAAACTTTATTCATATATCGCCTTTCACAGACTCAAAGTAAAGTACAAAGCGCTTTACAGAATAAGATAATTAAAACCATATTCTAACAAGAGATAATGCATACTTCTGACCAAAGAACACATACACTCAAAGAAATGATTCAGGTGGTTAGTATTTTGAACTCAAAATACATACTAAACTAAACTCAATAATTGATTTTTGCCAGTTTTACTTAAATTAGTGTGGTCGCAACTCATTTTAAACATGTCGGTCTCAATTAAAAGTTAATACAAGTCCTAACTCATTTTTGTAACAAATTTGAACTTGATATTCTGGCATAACTGGACAACGGAGAAGTATTGAGTTTGCTCAACATGAAAATCCTCTTGTAAGCCTGGTGGCCCATTAATGAAAAAACAAATATATTGAGTTGATTCAAAATAAATATATTGAGTTGATTCAAAATAAATATATTGTGTTGATTGAAAACAAAATGTGGCGAAGCAGTGACGCTACCCAGAATGCATTGCAGCGAAAAATATAAACTTCTTAAAAATTCTACATTTGAGCATTAATTTTAAAACTGAAAATGAAGCAAGTCCTAAAGCAAAATACTTGAGCAACATTCTGAATAAACTAATTTGACCAAATAAGTAATTGTATTTATTTTTATCAACCATGATCGAGAGGGCCAAGCCAAAGCAGTCCTATACTCCCTGTGTCACCCTTCAATTTTGAACAAATACTTTAAGGTGGACATGTTTACCAGTGACTGTGCTGGCCCACTCTCATATATATGTGGAGTGAGAGACTACTGTCTAAAATTAACAATTGTGAACCGTTTTGTGAATCTAATCTTTGAAAGATGGTATTTGAATAAAGATTACATATTCCTGACTGAAAATCACTTGTTGAATATACTCAAAAAGATTTATTTTCAATGTAATTATTTAAGTTGGTAGTATTGTTAAAATTAAGTTGAACTGATGCTAAAACACTTGCTGAATATACTTAACAAAGTGTCTTTATAACTCAATTATCCAAGTTGGTGGTATTGAAAAAATGGTGCTGGACCAATGATAAAAGACTTACAAAGAATACTTAAAACACAGTCTTGTTCGCAAAACTTAAAAAGATGCATGCAAAATGCTGCCTCAATTTTATTAAGTTTTGCCAATGCATTTTTTTTTAGAGTGTACACTCTAAAAAAACAAGAACAAGACTGTGTTTTAAGTATTCTTTGTAAGTCTTTTATCATTGGTCCAGCACAATTTTTTCAATACCACCAACTTGGATAATTGAGTTATAAAGACACTTTGTTAAGTATATTCAGCAAGTGTTTTAGCATCAGTTCAACTTAATTTTAACAATACTACCAACTTAAATAATTACATTGAAAATAAATCTTTTTGAGTATATTCAACAAGTGATTTTCAGTCAGGAATATGTAATCTTTATTCAAATACCATCTTTCAAAGATTAGATTCACAAAACGGTTCACAATTGTTAATTTTAGACAGTAGTCTCTCACTCCACATATATATGAGAGTGGGCCAGCACAGTCACTGGTAAACATGTCCACCTTAAAGTATTTGTTCAAAATTGAAGGGTGACACAGGGAGTATAGGACTGCTTTGGCTTGGCCCTCTCGATCATGGTTGATAAAAATAAATACAATTACTTATTTGGTCAAATTAGTTTATTCAGAATGTTGCTCAAGTATTTTGCTTTAGGACTTGCTTCATTTTCAGTTTTAAAATTAATGCTCAAATGTAGAATTTTTAAGAAGTTTATATTTTTCGCTGCAATGCATTCTGGGTAGCGTCACTGCTTCGCCACATTTTGTTTTCAATCAACACAATATATTTATTTTGAATCAACTCAATATATTTATTTTGAATCAACTCAATATATTTGTTTTTTCATTAATGGGCCACCAGGCTTACAAGAGGATTTTCATGTTGAGCAAACTCAATACTTCTCCGTTGTCCAGTTATGCCAGAATATCAAGTTCAAATTTGTTACAAAAATGAGTTAGGATTCTTGTATTAACTTTTAATTGAGACCGACATGTTTAAAATGAGTTGCGACCACACTAATTTAAGTAAAACTGGCAAAAATCAATTATTGAGTTTAGTTTAGTATGTATTTTGAGTTCAAAATACTAACCACCTGAATCATTTCTTTGAGTGTACTGTTATGTACAAAAAGTATTATATATTATATTCAAACCGGTTCTGTCTTGGTCATGGCTAGTATGTTTGTTAGAATATGTGATGCAGTTTTAAATAAGGCGTATGATGAGTTTTGAAAAACTAGTCATCATTGATTCTATAGAATTATAAATATATTAAAACTATTCTGAATCATTGAAATCGATATGCTGGATATAGTGATGCTCGATATAGTGTGGAAAGTTTATAGGCAAAGGATAATTGTTCCATCTCCAAGCAAAATAAGCTGTGGTTAGGCAAGCATGTTTACTGTAAAGAAGCCTGCTCTGACCTATAATACGATACAACACAATATGGTTCACGTGCTGCTGGGAACCACTCATTGGCTGATAAGACCATGACAATGACGACGACGATGACTTACTTTTTGAATTGTTTGAGAAAAATGCCCACATTCATCGCTCTCTTTGAGTCAAGGATGCTGATCTGTGAAAAGACAGGATAACAATGTAAGACTGAAGAACATTGTAAAGATGTTTTGTAAACATACCGTAATTCCTACAAAAAATGGATGGAAAAATTATAATAGTATTTTTGGCCATTATAAACTATGAGACTTTTTTCATTTAATGTTTTAGAATGTGAGATAAAATCTTCAGTAGGAAACATATGGTGAAATAAGTAACACTAATTTAAGGGCACTACTTTTGTTTTATAAGGCAAAAAACATACTTTAACAGGACTGAGACTTTTAGACAGAAGGGGTAGATTTACATGTTTGAGCCAGAAGTTCCTGTTATTAGCGTGGATGGATCTAAAAACAACTCCAGGTCTGTTTTAGATGAGGAATCACGATTAAAAGCATTCAAATGTTTCCTTTGACAGGTCAATGCAAAAAATAACCCTAACACTTGATGTCTTCACTTTCCAGGTGACATCAAGTCTAATCAAAAGACTAGAATGCATCATTAATAATAAGAACTGCAGCAGAACCATCTCAACTGTGTTTGGTGTCATTAGTCATACTTGGGGTACTGCTAACTACTGTATATACACACCTAGTGAATATTATAGGCCAGCAGGGTTTGTCACCTACAGTGGAAAATATATACATTTTTAAAGGGGATGTAACACAAGGCTTAGCAGCTATTTAGTTGACACATTTGTGGTTTGAAGCCCACACACAGACGATACTCAGCGGGCAACTTCAAATGTGTGTCTGCAATTTTGTTGTCACTATTGCTGAAACAATAGTGGAAAAAAATGTAGCTTCATATATACAAAATAAATCAAATTCATACCAAAAAAAAAAGACATTCACAATTAAAGTGATTAACAGCTACAAGTTACAGTCACATAATTGCAATTGGGTCATGAGTCATGATCCTGGACATCTATGGACATACTGTGTATGAATGTCTTGTTATTGCATTTCCTGTGTTTATTATTCATGTCCTGTGTTCTAAAAATCAGATTTCTGTAATTGCTGTTGGTGAACTGACAATTTGCTGCTGTTATGAAAGCTATACAAAAAAAATTGAAATATTTACTGATTTGTTTTAAATTCTGAACCCCCCCTTCTCAGTGAGGCACCATAGACCGTATATTAGGAGTGGACTGACTGAGTGCTGATGAAACCCATATTTAAACATAAACAGCTGGAGTTAATTTCTTTATATTGGAAATTGTTCCAACTGCGTTAGCTTTTGTGTTGTAACAGGGGCAGAAGTTTTGCTAACATGGTTGCTGAGGCAAGCTGGGGTCTCCTTTGCAAATCAAGACAGCTGATACATTCTTATATGGTTCATGTCTCACAGGGGTTACAAAGATATGAAAATAAAACACCAAGATCACAGTGAGCGCAAACCAGATTTTTTAAGCCCAAAATTGTGACTGTGACACAAACTATTTCTAAGCTTGAGGAGTTCACTTCCCAATGTAAGTCAATAGGAGCTAGAGCGAAAATCTTCCTCTATGAGCACTTCCCTATTGAGCTTCATTGAGCTAGTTAGCATTGTCATATGTCTATATACAGTACAGTCTATGGGAAGCACTGGCTCACATAACATTCCTACAATAAAGTGACAGTCTTTACCGTCTGTACGCACCACAACTCCCAGAGGTCTACTTAACATGTGCCTTTATGATTAAGTGCTACCATTTCTCCATGCAAGTGTGTCGTGTTTCTCGGCAGTGTTTGATGACGCAGACATGATCTTGGGACGACAGAAGACAATATTCCCTGAAATACAAGCTGAAACATGGCACCCTGATTTCATGTGTCCCTGTGGGGCCACAGACAACACAAAGACATATAGATATCTGTATGATATTGTTATTGTGGGGCTGCTCTGGGTCAAGGAACTATTTATCTGCGAGATTGAGCAGACGGGCACTTACCATCAATCATACAAGAAAAATAGGTGGGGCTGTATTGAATTTAATCATGTGTGGGACACTGTACTATTATGTACAGTAAGTATATATTAACAGTAATACATCTAAAATAGCCAATTTCCATGGCATAACTTTGACCAGTAAGATTTGCTGGAAGAGAATAATTAAACTAATGACAAGAGGCCTCAAAGATTTTAATTAATTTCTAACAATCAGAAGACAGCTGGGGTGAGCATGGGCGGGGCCAACCAGCACTTTTCACTCTCACTTCAAAGTTTAAAAAGTAACTGACATCCACTTTAACTAACAAGCTTTTTCACATGCAGCTTAAATACAGTGTAAACCTATTATAAGAAGAATTTGTGGATTATACCCATTACATCTCCTCACCTCCTCTTTGCTCCCCTCCTTGAACGAGCGGGTCCTGGACACTTGTGTGGACGTCCCGATGGCAGTGGCGGTCCCCCTGCCGCCCCCCTCCTCCTGCTGACCAAACAGCTCCTCCACCGAGCGCACGTCGATCTGAAACTGCTGCTGCTGCTGCACCGCCATGGTCCAGATGTTGGGCTTTTCCCGCACTTTCTCCTCCGGGATGGGTTTCCAGAAGAAGCTACGTACCCGGCGCTTCTTTCTGCCACCATGGTTGCCCGGAAGTGGGGGTGGGGGCGGGGCTCCGGAGGGCGGGGGTGGCGGTGGCAGCGGCGGAGCGGGTGGCGCGGCATGTTTGGACGAGTCGGAGGTGGTGGCGGACGTGGAGCTGCTGGTGGCTTCACTGCTGCTCTCGGGGTCCAGCCGGGTGGATGGGACACTCATAATAAGCATTGCAAGGTCCAACTCTTCACATCATAGTAGTGGCAATAAAAAAATTGTAACATTTGTTTTTTTGTTTTGTTTTTAAAATTACAGAAAATAGAATAATCAATATATCTTCAAAGTTCAGTAGATATTCCACTTTCAGTTTGGTGGCGTACGCAAGCGAGGATCTTTGTTTCCATTGACATTGGAAATAGTTTTTAGTCTAAATTTGTATGTTCTTGACAACGCAATTACATGTTTCTATTTGCATCCGGACTTGGACATGTTTCCGGTAAGAAACTATTTTGCTGAACGTTCCAGCAAACTTGATCTGGTTTCCCACATTTCTTCACGATCCTCGCCATTGACTCTGTTTCCATTTTACTGTAGGCTACAACTGAAGGCTGCTATGGTCTTTTGCCTGCAATGGTGATCATTTTCACCCTGAGCTTCTGCAATCCATCCCATTTAAAATTGTTTGAATTTGCACTACAAAAAACACAGTTAGGTCCGAGTAGGTGAGAGTCCATTCAACTGGTCACAATGGCGGCCTCTTTGATTAAGCCCATGTCCTCCTCTCCGTTGGGCGTCCACAGTGCAGCGCTCGGCCTTTGATGGTTACCTCCGGTGTTCTGTAAGGTCCAGAGAAAACAATATGGGACAGGATTAGACCAGGGCACTCATGCATGTTTGTGATGGGACTAGTTAGTCAGGGGTGCCACACATCTAAGCCAAGGGGTGCTATGTCAGACGGGGCCAAGCAAGAGAGACGTGACAAATCCTATCTTTAATATTTGGGAGTCTTTGAAGTGGAGCTGTGGGGTGTAAAAAGTGAAGAGATGTGATAATGACGAGCTGTAAGTTCCCATAAAAAAAAAGAAAAACAATCTTATAAATATATTGTCAGACAACCTTGATTATGTAAATAGCCCGCATAATGTTCTACTCCCTGATCTGGTTGTATTGTGCAAAATACTAAAATGAATCTGAGTTCTAACAATGTATGTCGATTTACACTGCAAACATTTTGAAGAAAAATACACAGAATGGGTACCAAACATCCAAACCAAAAAAATAATAATAATTAAACTAGTCCTCTGTCACATCTTTAGATGAGCTTTTCAGAGAGTACCCTTCTCACTCAGCCAATCACTCACCCGAAAGCATCAACTGGTGCCTCAAAGGCGCTTTTTAGAAGTATGCAAACAATAATTGGTCAGATTTGATCACATTATTTCACTTGACTCATAATAATCTTCCTGTCAACAAAAGAAAATTATTATATTAATTTTTGGGGACTGCCAATGGGACAAGCTAAATTGTATTGTTATGTAAGCAACATAAGGAGTGAGATAAAAAGTATTCAGCTCAATCAATATAGGCATGGTATATCATGTTGTATCAAAACCTCTGGAATTCAGCTGTTGACTTAAATGTGCACAATGACATGCTTTATTAACAACATTCAGTTATTGCTGATGTAGCTGGTGAGATGGTAATTTGGCCATTAGTCATTCCATTTTGAGACATTTGACAGTTGTGAGCCCCAACTCTGACCATGCTCAAACCAGGTCTGAAGTTGCTTTTAGTTCTAATATTAGCCAGAGGAATTAAACACTTTGATTGAGTATGTATATTTTGTATTTATATTTAATTTGGGAATCAAACTTTTCCAACAGAATACTTGATTTATGAGCTAATTATGGCTAGTGTTCCCAACACCTATAGCAGACAGGCAGGCATCCCTATTCAAACGAGGCAGAGGCCGCAGCTCCTTATGTGCCGGCTCTGGGAGAGGGTGACTATGGAAATCAGCGTGTGGTCTCAGACGTATTGTCACTAGCATCATGAGCTGCCATAGAGATGCATCGGTTGTGTAGCAACACCCTTGACCTCACAACTCAGCGCGCCAAATAAGGCAGGCAAGGCAAATGTGGTGAGACTGTTTTGCGAGAAAGTGAAAATATAGGGAGAGGAAAGGAGATGAGGGAAAACATGTGATAAAGGCCACACAGAAACAACTTTAAAATCAAAGTGTGTGTCACTCTTTGGAACAACATACCAGAAGTATGTATATTGTGGTTTACATTTTTTGTGTATCCAGTTTACTGGTTTTTGTCTTTTGTTTGAAAATAATAAAATACCTTTACTGCTACTACTATGAGATTGTTCTTTGTGCTGGTGCTGGAGTTGACCAAAAAATGCATGGTTGATTATTATTATTATTATTATTATTATCTATTTATTTTTTGTCAAATATATGTACACAGGTTTGGCATTAATCAATTGAATAAGATATCCTTGTTGGATCGATTGGTCGACTCATATACGGCATAACAAAAGATGACTGACCTATTATATAAGCAAAAGCAAAACATTAATACAAATGTGAATTTAAGTTTTCTCCTGCTTTAAACAGAAAAAACAACATATTTAGCTAATTAGTTACATATCTTTCATTTTTTACATTTATCATACATTTTTCTAATTTATAATCTATAAAATGGCCGTTGAAGGACTGTCCGTAGTTGATGAATTGACCGTAGTTGACGGACCGACAAATTGGCTCAACAGCTAAACAGTTTTTAAGTCTGTCTTAAGTACTGTTGTTGTTAGTCTACTTCTTTCTTATTCTTACAGAACAATTTACAAAAGAGAAGATACCTACAATATCCAATCCCAAATACTGTAAATTACCTCAAACACTTTTTACCATTATTATTCACGAGTGAGAGCAGGGATCCTCTAACCACAAACACTAGACTAAACAGTTAAATAACACATTTCAAAAATGGTATGCAAAAAGAATAAATAAATAATTAGAAATTGTGATTTGCCTCCAATAGTGACTCTATAGTTGAGTAGAGGGGTGTGGTTGCATGGGACGGGTGGGGGTCTCGGGCTGGTTGTGTTACAAGACAACACATCCGTCAGTGGCTCCAGCTGACAGCTCTAACCCTCACCCATATGGAAAAAGTCACATAATACTGTGTCTACAAAAATGTGTATGGGACCCTCTGACACAAAACAGGACACAATGGATTTGAAGTCGGAGGTTGATGGTTCTATTCCAGAAGTAAGACATGACTGATCAGTTGCATGCCAGCGTTTACACGGTTGCTACTGAGGTGATACGTCTCTTGCATCCTTTAAATTATGCACAATTTAAAAGTTTTGAAAATACAATACAACTTAAGATTGTAAATGCAGATTTGGAACCATTGTGAATCACTGCTTTTCTATAAAACACAGCTCACAATGCTAACATATAGAGATTATATTTCAGCTTCCCATTGGTGATCCTTTTATCCATCCATTTTCTTCCGTTTCATCCGTTGCCGGGTCGCGGGGGCAGCAGTCTAAGCAGAGACACCCAGACTTTCCTATCCGCACACACTTCCTCCAGCTCGTCCGGGGGGACCCCAAGGCGTTCCCAGGCCAGCTGAGAGACATAGTCCCTCCAGCGTGTCCTGGGTCTTCCCCGGGTCCTTAGATGCCTTGCTGTATACAGTGACATTTAAAACTTAACTTCTAGTCCAATGAGGTTAATTTGATCTTCTGATAAATTCTACAAGTTGATTATTTTTGACCAAAGACCATATCTGACAGTTACGACTGTGGACGAAGAGCAGAGAACATTCGGATCAGGCCTGTCCATAGGAACTGCCATGCTGGAAGGTCAAACTAAACTTAGGGTGTATTCAGATCAGAAAAGTCCTTTGCTCCGCTTGCTTGGTCCGAACCAAAAGCGGAGCAAACACTTTTCTTTTGCTCCGGTTCATATTCAGACTGCACTTTTCGCAAGTGAACTTTTTTTATAAACATATCACCGCGTGTGACGATCGGTGCTCCTATTGGACAGCGAGAGCTCACGGAGGATAGATGCGGAAATGGAGGACAAAATTGAGCTCGTACCGGCTCGTACGTGCTGCATGTCTGCTCTGCCTATGTTTGCTCTTTTTAGAGCGAAACCACCCTCAACATCAACAGCAGCTCATTAGACACAGGCGAAACGCGTTGTTTCACATTTTGGAACAGCGTCGGCAAATGCGCGAGGAGAAAGTCGAAGGAGACTCTGTGCTCTAAGTGCCCTGTCCATGGATCTATAATAATAACTCTGTTCCACAACATACTGACAGCAGCATTGTGGATAAACAGACGACGGAGGATCAGGTGTGAACCAAAGAACACAATTCACGGCATGATACGGGATATTGCTTTTTGAGAAGTGAGTCAAACACGTCAGGCTTTTAAAAATGCAAATGGTTTGAAGATGCTGCCATTAACATCACTGTATACTGTGAAAAGTTTTAACTCCATAAGCCTGTTGCACAGCGTCTCCTCACTGCTCCTGGTCTGCCCACGGCTCATTGTTGTTGTGTAGCATGAGTTTGCAGCTGTGACGCGTGGCTGCGGTGGCTCGTTGTATCCTGGAATTGTGTCGGATCGAAACCGGTTGAATCGACTTGGACCAGAGTTCGTAACGAATCCTGGTCCGTTTAAAGTGGACCAAATGTACAGGTCCAAAAATCCATCAAAAATGTCTCAACTTTTAACATCACAAACAGTGTGTGACCTAATGTTCTAATAAAATATGAGTAACAAATGTTTTACAAATGCTTCTATATATGTACACTTCTTACACAACTTCTCCCTCGATTTCTCCGTACTGTCCCATTAGCTCAGAGCTGTCTACCGGATACACCGGGGTCTAAATAATGTATGCAGAGCCGACGTCACAGATGGCCTCATGTTGCCCACAGCACCAGGCACAGGCGCTCTCCCGGCCAGCACTGAGCACTGGACCAGAGGCTCCTCATGGCTTATGCAGCATCCAACCCCCGCTGACTCAGATCTTTCTGGAAGGCCCCTGACAAGGAGTTGCTCAACTTTAAGAGTGAAGGGGTTAAATGATGTACCTTGAATGCGCTTGAAAGAGTTTTACTAATGATATTTAGATAATAAGGAGGAAGTAATGAATAATACACTTGCAATAGTGTTAACCATGTCTTCTCTTAGTTTAAGTAAAATGTATTAAGGACATTGAAGTTACATTAAAAAAATGGCTGCGCCAGATTTAGCACCATGCAGTGACATGCATGGTGAGGTTTGTGATTGGGGAGGCACTGACTTTAAAAGTCAGATTTACACTTGTTATTCTAATAAAATAATCATAATGGTCATAAAATTGGTCCATTTATGCCAAAAAAGTAAATAACCTGTGTTGAAATGACGTGTTGACCAGGGACAACAGTGGAAAGTGTAGCATGTTGTTTAGACCTGTGATTGCTTTTCACCACAGGGAAAAAACAACGTTTGTTTTGAACAAAGATTCAAAACAAACTTCTGACTTTCAAAATAAGTCTTTGAAAGTCATCACGCTGTGTACCCAGCACTCCAGGGAATTGCAATATACTGGAATTATTGTTTATCGTCCACATAGAGAACTAAAAAGCCCAAACGTGTTATGCTCGTGTGACTGGTGTGTAAGGGCTATAAATTAGTTTATTTTTATAGGTCGCAAAGCTGGTTAAATGCAGAGTTGACACACCAGCCCGTACGACATGCAGAATAAAAAGGGCGCCCTGGAGTTTTTTGGTCAGAATTCCTATGGTTTTGCGCAGTGGGAATGAGGCCAAATATTGTTCTATTCACTGAACACTTCACATTGTTGTGTTCTATTGTTGCTAAGAAGTGCATAATTTAACACTGAAACAATGACAACCAAATAAAGGCGGAAATTTCTCACAAATCAAGCCCCACATTAAGCGTTGTTACATAATCTCTTCCCTTTTATAGTGGAATGCACGCCCCATGTAACCCTCTGAATCTTTTGCCAAGTGTCATGTTCTTTTAGCTATATTTAAAATTGCTCCACACAATGGCCACCTGACGTGACGCGACTGGAGGCGATATGATTTAGAGTGGAGGAAACAGCTGTCAGCAACACAACCCAGACTGGTCAGAGAAAGGAGAGCAGGGACGCATTCCTCAAATCCACCTGCTGCTATAAGCCTGCTACTGCTGCTATTGCAATGGCACTTTTGCCACTGTTGCTATACTGCTACTGCTCCTGCTGCTACTGCTGCTGCTGTTGTGATGGAGGAGAAGGAGGAGAAGGAGGAGAAGGGCTCTGCTATCAGCCTGGAGTCATTCCCACTGGTATTAGCCAGAGCCAAATCACTGACCCATCTTCAAGTGTAGTGGAGAGGTCTCTACAGTATGTGCAGAAGTTATTCGGAAGATAATTAAGTTTAATTTCAGCTATAGGTGATCACGTCCAACCTCAACCCCATAACATTACCCATACAAATGTGGGAAAACATAACATCTAATCATAAAACATGTGATCTGTTCATACTTGTATAATATATGTTGAGGCACAAGAGGTTCATCTAGTGCAATGATCATATATTCGACAGTCTAACCAAAAACCTAAAAACTAAATGGTTGCATCATTTGAAAAATTACAAAATAGGAGTTTAAGAAAGTTGTTGTCCTCCTTTTCACATAATATTCAGTTTCCACCAAAGTTCCCATTCCCCATATGCTGCTTTTGTGATCAAGGAGCTGTCAGCTGACCACACCCATAATCACCTGATGTGCGCTGTGGTGCTGGAGCAGGACAAAGTGAAGATCCTTTGTAGAGTGCGGTTGAAGGCTCCTCCCTGACAAGACAAAAGACTGAGTTAGGAGGATGCTTTCTGTCAAGGGACGTCGGTATTTGTCTGTCATAATAAAAGAAAGACAGAAAGGCGTTGTGCTCAGAAGGTAGGTACCAAATGCTCACAAAAAGAACAAAGTAGTCAAATAAGGTGAATCAAATAGGCTGAACACTTCAAAGTTTTTCATCTACACAAAAAATACTATGGACATCCGTGACTATAGGACTACAGCACTTTAGGTGCCAAAGTAGAAGAATCACAGGCTTGGCTTTCTACAAGCATGTCTCATATCATACTTTTATATCTGTTCTTGGTTTCAGCAGTCCTCTCTCTAAGTGTTGTGGCTTTTGTCTGTTTCACATAAAATGTCATTTAAAAGTTACATAATAAAGTAAAAACATCTAATATGTTTTACTTAAATGCATAATTCTTGTCAATGTTATTATAATGTAAATTATCTCATTATGTGTTATTTATTGATGTATTGACTAATCTATTGATTTAAACAGGAAAATCCCAGAGATATCAGAATTTCTTTTTTTAGGGGTGTCATGGCCCCAGAGAAAGGGGCTCTATATGTGCCTGTTTTTAGTGTTACATGGAGTAAACTAACATAGACACAGAGGATGTAAATGCCACTCAGAAAGGCCATGTCTGAGGTGTGAAGCGAGTGCTAACCACTCAGCCACTGTGCATGTATTATTCCATGCAAGTATAGAGAGGTAGGTTAAATTGCCAAGTTGCTTGTTGTAATCAACTGTAGGACAAAATACCCGCAATACACAATGACAACTATCAATATCCAAAGCTAGATCCAGATACAAACATACAGTTGGATACTTAGAGGCAGATAATTGAACTTGACAATTGTGTTGCATAACCATCATTACTTTCTCTAGGTAAATCGGATGAGCAATACTCCAGAAGAATCTCTGCCTTCAAATCTGTCACTTCCTTTTCCAAGGAACTTGGCAAAACTTTTGAACATTTTACACACACATACTCACACTGACACACACCAAAACAAATACTGCTTGGTCTCCAAAGTTTTCCAGTGAAGGGTAAAACGCTGCTGCAGTCTGCGAGCCCCTGTTGTTAACATCTACTTCCATTCTCTCGGGGTCACTGCGCCCATCCTGCTGCATCCCTGTCACCATGGAGACGCTCGTTAGCTGGGTGCTTATGTATGAGGCTTAGCGGGCAGCCATGTTTGTGTTTCTGCACTCGTGTCCAGATTCATCAGGACTGTTTCACCTTCACATGTTTCACTTCTAACCTTAGAACACAGAGGTCAGCTAAGGTGTGATATAGGAACCAGAGAATGAGCTCTCATTATGGGCTCTAATATTAAAATCACAATTAAATGAATGTTTAGATTAGATTCATAGACAGAAAAGTTAATTACAGTACTTGCTGGACTGTATTCCCCTTACTTTTGTCAAGTTCTATGACAATGTAGTCATGAAATCAAGTTGTGTCCAGTTTAAACAGCTGTCTATCCGCTTTATATTCATGTGCAGATTGTATACAGGTGTACTTAATAGTCTAGCAAGTAGTGTAATTGCCCTGCCATAAAATTAATAACATGGGAAATTTTAGAGCTCTCCAAAATCTTTTCTCCTGAAATAAAACAGTGCATTTTACTTTTACAAGACTCTTTCTATCGGGAGTTCAGACAAATGAAATGTGTTATTTAAGAAACACAAAAAGGTAGGTACCACAGCTTCACATAAATAGAAATACACTGCAATGAACAGAAGATTCATAATACTTTTAAAATAATATTTGCAATTATTGGACAATGATATGACCATTGCATTGACTATAAACTTTTCTCTTGAAACTGTAATAATCAAATAGAGACATTAAATAATAGTGTTATTAGCCCTAATATTTAAAGCTGGAGTACCTAATATTTTGTATAATTAATTACTTGTGTTTGTCTCAACATAAAGAGTCTTGTTAAAATAACATTCTCTTCGTCCCTAGTTTGTTCTCAAAACACAAATGGCAAGAATTAAATGCACCCCATTTCTAACAGGAAATGTGGCCTGTTTGCTAATAACCACAGAAGCATAAAAAAAACCTGCTAAGCACAATTATAGGACCATTGTTCAAGCAAAAATATACTAAGAATTGGGAAGAACAAGCATCACCAGTGTATTTGTAATCTGCCTGCAAGACCTCATATCCAAGAATGAATACAATTCTTCTTTACAAAACCTGCTTATGATAAACTGCGAGTAACAATAATGGTTTAATTGTTTGCTATTTTGAGAAGAAACAAGAACACAAGTTGTTATTCAAATGATTTTGGAGAATTATGTGATTAACATGCATGGCAGATAACATAACTAACAATGCTGTGGCCATAATTGCACACAACTGATCCTATTAGATCTCAGAAGCTAAGCACGGCATGTACTGGTGACTACTGTGATGGGAGACCTCTATGAACGACATCAGGGGCCACAATGGGGCAGCTGCGGTGGTAAAGTGTCAAACTGTTGTTGAAACTTGAATGAAACTGATGCTGTAACCAGGTAAAGCAATCACATTATATAAGTGGTCAGGAAACAGCACAGTCACCTCTCCCAGACATGACCTCTCTGATCTCTGTGTGAAAGCGCACCTTTAATTCGTCAGCCAAGTCTGAGAGTGGAACTCGATACCAGAGGACATAAATCAGCAAACCACAGCCGACAGAGAACGAAATACACCACCTGTGGAATAACGGTTTTTCTGCATCGAAGCTTGGACCTGTCTTAACATCATGCTTTAACACCTATTGTTCCATCAAGATCTTTAAGTCATCATGTTTTTACCTTGCATTTTTTATTATTGCGCCATTGGCCGAGGAATGACTTATGATGGAATGGATCAAATGCAGAGGATCATACGTACATCTTAAAGCACAGCCAACGTCATAGCCTATCACAACAATATATTGGCCAGGAAGATTTTTTGCAAACACTGAAGATAATTTCAGCCGTGTAAGGATTCCTTTTGTTCTGCAATGTGTGCTGTAACACTGATGTTTCCCCTCTGGGACAAATAAAGCGTCTCCATCTTACTGTATCTATCCTTATTCAGCAATTTCTCCACAGTTTTGACCCCAAGCGTAATAGTAATTTACTGCAAGGCTAGATGATTACTTCCCACTCCAGCGTCCCTTGTACTCCTGTGGCTCAAATGAGAACACGATTCATAAATGTATTGCTATATTAAGACACCCATCATCTCGGAGCATCTACGTCCAAATCTGTGACGATACATGAGCAGAAAGTACCTCTCCATCTTGCACAACGACTCAAGTGTGATTTAAAGAGTGAGATTGTTATGGGTAAATAAAAACAGCCTGAGATATTACAGGAGGTTATCAAATCAATCAAAAGAGGATTGTGCTGCCGCAAGTTCTACCTGTTTATAAATCAAATGCCTATTTTTTCTGAATCTAATCTAAATAACCAACTACTACTCTACTACTACTGCTCAGAAGGTTTAGGAGATGTGGTATATACAGACAATGAATAGAAATTACAGTTGGATACATATTAGTACAGTGGGCTGTTTTTTGTCAGGGCCAAAATAAAAAGATTATAGTTCAGATTACTTTTTGGGCTACACTTTTATACCAAGGTATTCATTGTTTTCTTTGTGGAAAACCCAACTTCTGCTAATTGTTCCATATTTATATTTTATGCCATGTCAGGTTTATTATTATTATCATTTTTATTATGTCCTGATAGATATTTTTGAATATAATTAGTTCACTTATGTTTGACCTGAATCAAAACTGGAGATAAGATAAAGGCTGAGTAATGCAGACAGATCGGTCAATTTTGAAAAAAATCTTTTGTATTAAACTATAACTAGTTCAATGTTTAGAATAAAAAGAATGATGCAGTTATTTTTCTTTTAAATTATGTATAACATGGCATGGTAGCCATATTACCTCTTATGATCAATTCTGAAAATTAACAGTAAGACAGGAAAACTTTTAACTTTAATTATTATTAATTATTTTAACTTTAACTATTGTATCAGGTGTTTGTGATCAAGCCTGAACCATTTAAAGACGCATTTCATCAACTTTCAAATTACTATATCGACATGTATGGAACAACTGTTAGAAATTTGCAACATCCATAACAATTGATGCAACACGGCTGATATTCTGACCTGCAAGTGACAGGTCTCAGCTGCCCTCCCCCCGTCACTGTGGTGCCACTGCCAGACAACTGCAGCTGATATCGCCTCTCCATCGAGCCATTCAAATAAATGCACTCCCTCTCCCCCTTCCTCCTCACACTACACTAAAGCAGCAGCTTCACCCACCTCCATATTATTCATGTAGAAAGACATTCAGGAAACATCAATCATGTGTGTTTATCCTGGTTGAAAAATAACTTTTTTGCACTTCAAACTGCCCTTGGATTTAATTTGTAACTTTTGGCTTCCACTGTTGAGAAAAAAGATTAATAGCATGGTGCTTTATGGAATTAAACACTGCGCTGCCAATTTTTCCCATCACAAATTGTACAATAGAGCTGACTCAGCACAACCAGCCTGCTGTGACTTCATGCTATATTTGAGATTTCAGAGACAGGACTGAGTATCCCAAAATCAAAAAGCTTTTAACCATGTTACAACATTGTTCCCTCATCATCCCTCATCACAGACCTGGAGTTGCTTTTAAATCCATCCTTGCTAATATCAGGAACTTCTGGCCCCCTACTGTCAAAAATCTCCTGTCTCAGTCCTGTTCAAAGTATGACGTCCTTGTACCACTATGACATCACACTCATTAGTTTTGGCAATTTCCCAAGTGAAATTATGTTCTTTCCAATCCCATGTCTGTGTTTGAACTTTGTTCTTCCAATTTCCAATTCCATTTTGGAAAAAGGCAACACAATTTCAACTCGTCTCTCTGGTGGTAGCATAGGGAGTTTCAGGCCTTTCATACCTTTCATACTTGTTTCACCATATATTTTCTAAAATAT